TTAAGAATGATTAGTGAATGAGACTCATTCTTATAAACTTCTTAGTGTTTTTTCTTAAGGAAGCTTTCTTGAATCCGGCCCCTGAAAGTATACAAGTCAACCAGAACAAATCAGAGAGCGTTTGGTCTAAGAGTAAGACTAGACTTCATCCTCATACAGTTTAGAGTTTAATCCAGGGTATCACAGGTTCCTGTGCACAGTAACTCTGGAAGGACCTCTGTAGAACCAGGGGTCGCCATGACTACAACACAAATATAGACATTTTATTTTTTTTTATAAAGTTCCCATTTCACCTTAAACCATTTAGCTATACAGCTAGCTAGCTGCACTCTTAAAAAGATGGTTCTTCAAGGGTTGTTTAGTAAAGAAAATGGTTTAACATGGAACCGTGAACACTCAAAGAAGTTTTATGTAGAAGCTTTTTAAAAACGGGTTCTATATAGCACCAAAAACAGTTCCTTTATTGTTACGATGTCATAGCTTGTTATAATAGGACCTTTTTAAAAAGCTTCTATATAGAACCATCTGCAGCACATTCTCCATCAATCTGAAGAACGCTTTCACTGTGCAAAGAACCATTTAATCATGCAAAGTGTTCTTTGAGTGTTCATGGTTCTATATAGAACCATTTTCTTGACTAAAGAACTCTTGAGGAACCATCTTTTTTAAGTGTTACTGAGACATCAGCTACTACCAGTGTTTTTTATGCTTGTTATGAAGAAAAGGTCCATAATACACTGGAACAACATTGAACTAAGATAAAATAATGATTATCGTAATTTTTTAACAAAGAAAATTCTCACATCTGTGTGTTTCTTTGATCTCTTGTTCAGCCAGTTTTTCTCACTGGTTTTTCTTTTTTTCTCATAACTCTCTGTTTGGAGTCTCTGAAAAACCTCCGTTTGGAGGGTCATGTAGCCCCAACACTTCACCCTACCCCTCTATCTCAACAAGGATCGGGACCCCCTACCCCTAGACGAGAACACAGAACAGAGGGGTAGGGCTGAGTGGTAGGGCGAGGGGTGAAATGGGGTCGGGCCTTGGAGCAAATTTTCAGTACGATTTTTCCTCCACAAAGTTAATCTTTGATAGTTTATCTTCTCACTCCTCTCAAAGATACAGTGGGGCGAACTGGTGATAGTTTAACATTTCGATATTCTGTTTTAAATGTTTAATATTTCAATGCACATTCAAATTATTGCACCCTTCGGGTTCTTATATAAGAAGCTCTGTCAATCAACTCATTTAGTTTGTATGTTTTTTCTCAGAATCTCAGAAGAAGAAGTATCAGCAGAAACTCCTACCTCAGTCCACAGACTGTAGATGCTGGCCTGCTGTTACAGTAAGTTCCACAAGTTCTGCAGCATTTAACGACACTTAACATCTGAACTCTGAACAACACAGAGATAAATATGGAAGCACATCAGTAGAAAAATGCCTGTTTGAATTTAAATGTTCCTCATACATTTTAGACTCTTAATAAAAATTCAGTTTTATTATTTTAATTTGCCATCTGCTATAATAGTATTGGCATTTAATTTACACTGAGCTTTAGTAGCTTTAGTTAAATTAAATAGTTAGATTAAATTATTAGTTATGCTAAACGTGATTAAACAATAATGTTATTAATATTAAATTATTATTTTTGTTATATTAATATATTAATGCATAATAAATAACATGTTTTTCCTCTGTTTTGCTCTTCTGAGCACTTTAAACTAAATCCAATATAGCCGACATAAAAAAATGAAGATTTTCTTAAGAAGATCTTGAGAAAATGATTAAGATTATCTTAAGAGAATATTTGACAACTTCTTTAGTTTTTCTCAAGAACAGCACTTAAGAACATTCTTATGAACTTAGTGTTTGTAACCTTCGTAAGTTTTTTCTTAAGAAGGTTCTGTGAATCCGGCCCCTTCTGCTGAAATTATCACCTCTTATTAAACATCTTTTCATTCCCAGTTTTCCATTTTCACCTGATTAATAAACACAAACACTGAATAAAGAGCTTTTTTGGCTGTGTGAAAGTATTTAACCCCTTTCAACATTCTTACTATCTGCATTATGAACAGTGCACATTTTTCACTCTGTACTTTAATTTATTAATTTTATTTTTTCTTTTCTCCATTTTATTTAATGTTTACAACTATTTTATTTCATTTTACTTGGCTGATTAAATCTTTCCTTATTTGATCTGAATTCTATTACTATTATTATTTTATCATTTTAACACTCCTTTTACTTGATTGTTTCTTATTTTTTCTTTTATGCTGAAATTGAAATTCAATTTCAAATGAATTTATTTATTATCATTCTTTTAAATATTGTTATTAATTGGTTTTAACTACTGAATGTTGGTATCATGGTTCTTTTATTTTGCTGGTTTATGGTTCTTTTATTTTGCTGCTTCTTAATTAAATCTGAATTGTTGTCTTATGTTTTCCCATTTATCTTGTTTGTTTTGTTTGATTTTATTGTTAATTTGCTAGTTTTAGTTTAATCTGATTAAATTCCATTTATTTTCTATCCCTTTACACTGTAAATGCTCAGCTGCTCTGAAAATGAGGGTCCCTCAGTGTATTTCTGAGTGAAAATAAAGGTTGATTGATTATTATAAACACAAATGGACTTTAATGTTCTGGGACAAATTAAAAAATCTAAACTAAGAACTGACGTGTAATGAATAATTACTGCATTACTGACGACACAGACGCTTCACCAGTTTCACGTTTGACTGCATTACGGATTAGTGGAGTGATATTATTAGTGATTAGTGTTCTTCATCAGCATGACTACCTAATAAATACACTACCATTAATGATAATACAAACGTTTGATTTTAAATATCAACAGTAATCTGATAATATGAATACAAGAATACAGTCCTTTTATATATATATATATATATATATATATATATATATATGTAAATATATATATATATGTATGTATATAAATATATATATATATATATATGTAAATATATATATATATGTATGTATATAAATATATATATATATATATATATATATATATATATATATATATAATGAAATGCACCTAAAAATGCCCAATGAAAACAGAGAGAGAGAAAAAAGACAGCTAGGGGTTCAGAATAACCCATAAGGAAAAGAAATATATTCCAAATGTTTTTATCAAATATATTTTTGCAATATATGAAAATGGCCAAAAATATGTTAAACATATGTTTAAAATCTGTTTATCAGTATGTGTTACTATCTGTGTTCAGTTGAGTGTGATGAAGGTTCCAGGTGTAACTAAACGTTCTTCTGTGATCTGCACTGTACTTTACATTAACCATGTCCGTCTGCAGTCAGACTCTCACACACAATGTATTTCACATAAACAAGATATCAGATCATAACTGCATTTTCACAGAGTATCAATACTACAACACTCGCTTCTGTCCTGTTAAAGGATCATCTGATCAGATTTAAAATGAAGATACTGGAACACAAATTCATCTCCAAAGGTATCAGACAGTGAAGAGATCAGACAGGATTCTGGATATTTTCATACATTTTCAGATGGATTTGATAAACATAGTTACACACAGTTATTTTTGTATGGAATATTTTTATGTGTGCTATATAAATGCATTTTAAAATATATCTGGTTAATAAGTCAATATATTCTGAAATATATTTTAGTGTTTGGAATGTCTGAATGGACTGCAGGGTGTTTGAAGTACATTTTAAATATAAAAATACCTGCCCATATATTTATTTCCATATGGGAATTCACAATCAAACACAACTCTTTACAAAAGAAAGCAAAGTAAGAGTCTTTAGCGCTTTAGTTGTGTTTGAGGCAGAAATATTATGTAGATAATGTTTGATTTCTTGTTCAGGAGTAAAACTGAAGTCGCCTGTTGTTAAATTTATTTTTTAAATGTGAAATTTTGGGGAAGAAGGTTTCCTCCCTGCAGCCGCGCAGCGTCGACCAGCCAATCAGGTAAAAGAAACTCTCCACTGTCCGTGCACAACGAGGACGCGCCTCCATAGTTCCGCCCGGATTACACAGGAGAAAGTTAATAACCGCCTGGATTTGATCCAAAACTGAACGAAGACAGAGTTAAACAAACACCGCGCAGCAGAGTCTGAGAAGGTCTGGCTGCAGAGCTGCACTCTCAGCCTACTGAAGACGTCAGTGCTGCTCTGCCACCACAGTGTTTCTGTGGTTTAATGAGGAAAAACAGAGAATCAAGAACTGCTCGGACAACAAGAGTCACACTGAACGAATATTAACGCTGCTGTGCTGATAAGAAGGTAATCAAATATGGAAACTTTCTAAATTAAACCTACAACAGTTAAATGTCGGATTCATTCACAGAAAAACAGACAGGCTGCTGAAACTCATGGAAGCCAGGCTGAAGACGATCAGAGCCGCTTAGCAAAAACTAATATTGATTAAATTAGAACTCGTTAAGGATTCTAGGAGGCTGTGACAACGTGCAACCTCCTAGAATCCTTATAGGATGTAGCACTGATTACTTTCGCTGTCTCGTCACAACCTCCTAGAAAGCTGTCAGACAACGTCATAACTTTCTGACGAATCACAGTTCAGCGGTGTGACGGTGTAGAAAAGCACCGAGCAGACGACGCTGTGGCACCGAAACAGTCGCAACGTCACAATGTAGCTGTGTCTGCAGGGCCGTTAGGAATAAAACCTGATGGTTTTGCTTCCTAATGAGAATTGGCTTGATGGTTGCCGTTAGAGGCCATTAGGAAACGATCAGATGTGTGGAATCAGACCCAAAACACCTGAATGAAAAAATGGGTTAAGTGATAATGTCGTTTTCGCAGCAGCCAAAAGTTACCGTGCCGTTGAGCGGCTTCTGCCATTGTGGCAGAGTGCGTGTGTCCGTGACGTCACTGGGGCTGAGAGTGCATGTCTGCAGCCAGACTCTATTGGGTGGGGGTGGGGGGGTCTCTGACTCTGATGGGTTCATAGTGAGTCAGAGTCAGAACCGAGTCGCAGTTCCAGCTCATACGGGTCTGTTCGGGTGGCTGGTAGCCCGTGTAGAATTTACTCCTAATGTGTTTAAAATCCTGTGACTGACGGGTTCATTCGCCTCCTGTGCTGCGTGAAGGAGGAGGCGGAGGGATATAACTCCGCTATAGCTCCGCACCGCAACACTGGGACTGCGTTCATGAGGAGCGGAAGGAAAAGTAGTTCCTGTGCAGTTACAGCAGAGTTTTTAACCTTTCCGCTACCTACATTCACTCCCCGAGCGTAAGAATCGATATACCTGTTTAATCAGAGCGCTTGGTGTTGATATATAATTAAATGTGGGGGTTTGTGCTGTGAGGCATCCGCCCAGCTGCACTTCCTCTGTTCTTCACTTCCTGAAGGGAAACCGAAAGTAACTCTGCAGCGTGTCGCACTGACAGAGAGAGACGAAGAGCGGAGATAAACGGTCTTCAGTCTCCTACAGGGTGAGTGACCTACAGTCAGCACTGACTCTCAGCACTAGCGCTGATTTAAAGCAGGTAAACTCTGTTTATGGTGAACACACAGCGCTGTGTTTACTGTACTGACCCGGATGAACCGTTATGATATGAAATGGCCGCTAGTTCGGTGAATTATTGACCACTGAAAACGGTGAATTATTGGCTCGTGACTAAACTAGAATGTCCAGCTGTTAAAATACTGCTATAACTATATAGTCTTACTGGTTCAGTGTGAACTGGGTGTGTAAACGCCTCGATTACAGCTCGTATTTTCCATTTTCTATAATAAGAGTCAGTAGAGTCAAAATGGCGGTCATTGGTCAGAGATTCCGCTCTCAGCTTTTACCGAGACGGAGAATAATCGGTGCACTTTCAGTTTTCGTGATAAAATGAAAGACAAACTACAACCACATGTAAAAGTCATGTAAACAGATTTTACAGTGTTCACATGATCAGCCAAAGGCTAATAAACTAATAACAGCACAAAACAAAATACAGCTCATTACTTACTGCTTTATAGATTTGTATATAATAGCGGATCTGCCTCAGTGCCCACTGTTAGTGTTTCTGAGGTGGTCGTTCTGTGAGTGGTCCTGTTGCAGCATCACTACAGGTCTACAGCTATAAAACACTGCAGAAACATCTCAAAATAAACTTCTTACATTAAAGGATCCGAGTGACCCTGCAGCAGAAACACTCTGTCAGTCAGAGTTATACTGTGATACTGTAAATAAATAAACCAGGAGAGGCACCAACGAAAATAATCAAATCAATCTGTATTATATATCAGTACTAGTATTACTATGATATTGTAAATAAATGCTATAATGTAAAATTCTGTATGGCAGCTAGTATTACATCAGAAAACAAATATTGTTACCACATTTCATCTCCTATCAGTAATTATGAAATGAATTATTTAGGGGCTTATATAGCTGTGTTATGATTATTACAGGGTTACATGGTTATATGGTTATGCAATGTGGGTGTATCAGTGTTCTGTTCTACTCATGAAGCACAGAGTCGTTCTTCTCTCTGCTGTTTCCTGTTTCTCAGCAGAGAGAAACTGTGAAGTGTTTCTCCATTTGTAAGTGTTTGTATGTAGAACAACCACACAGAATAAACCAAACACTCCTCATGAATTTAGAGCCGTATAACTTTATAGTCATAGCTGTTATGGAGTTTATTTATTCATAATAAGTACATTAATCATGTTTCCTAAGAAGGATTCAGAGAATAGAAGTACTTCATTGCCTTTTCAGCCATTAGTTGTGTATGTATAGGGTGGTAGGCTTGTCATACACTTACACAAACCCATTAATACAAATCAGTGATAGTTTGATAGTAAAGTTTACTGTAATCACCCCAGTGTGTAAGTGAAACTGAGCTTTCAGATGTGTCTAACTGCAGATTTATGTGATTTCATTTTGGAAGTGATGGCAAATATGAATGCATTATAAAAGGTAAATAAATATACATGAACAACAGCTGTTATCAATAGCCTTTAGAGGGGGAGTTTAGTGGAGGTAAATTAAACTAAAAGAAGCTGATCCTACTGGAAAAAAACTCCTTTTCTGAAAATGACAAAGGTAAACCATATGTTCAGCACAAAATATAAATATGTGAATTAATAATTATGTATATAAGTAAACAAACCACTAAATAGTCTAAGGATTTCTTAATAATGCATATGGTAGTTCAAAATGCTGACTGTGCTAAAGAACAGATGATGTTCAGACCACTGGATGTCTTTTCCTTACTTATGGATCTTTTTTGGAAGGTTCCTCTCCTGGTCAGTACTGATGGTGTGTGTGTCTGTAGGTCAGTTCTGTTCTCTCTTTCTCTCTTCTCTCTCTCCTCTCCTGGTCAGTACTGATGGTGTGTGTGTCTGTAGGTCAGTTCTGTTCTCTCTTTCTCTCTTCTCTCTCTCCTCTCCTGGTCAGTACTGATGGTGTGTGTGTCTGTAGGTCAGTTCTGTTCTCTCTTTCTCTCTTCTCTCTCTCCTCTCCTGGTCAGTACTGATGGTGTGTGTGTGTGTCTGTAGGTCAGTTCTGTTCTCTCTTTCTCTCTTCTCTCTCTCCTCTCCTGGTCAGTACTGATGGTGTGTGTGTCTGTAGGTCAGTTCTGTTCTCTCTTTCTCTCTTCTCTCTCTCCTCTCCTGGTCAGTACTGATGGTGTGTCTGTAGGTCAGTTCTGTTCTCTCTTTCTCTCTTCTCTCTCTCCTCTCCTGGTCAGTACTGATGGTGTGTCTGTAGGTCAGTTCTGTTCTCTCTTTCTCTCTTCTCTCTCTCCTCTCCTGGTCAGTACTGATGGTGTGTGTGTGTCTGTAGGTCAGTTCTATTCTCTCTTTCTCTCTTCTCTCTCTCCTCTCCTGGTCAGTACTGATGGTGTGTGTGTGTGTCTGTAGGTCAGTTCTGTTCTCTCTCTCTCTCTCTCTTCTCTCTCTCCTCTCCTGGTCAGTACTGATGGTGTGTGTGTAGGTCAGTTCTGTTCTCTCTCTCTCTCTTCTCTCTCTCCTCTCCTGGTCAGTACTGATGGTGTGTGTGTAGGTCAGTTCTGTTCTCTCTCTCTCTCTTCTCTCTCTCCTCTCCTGGTCAGTACTGATGGTGTGTGTGTGTGTGTCTGTAGGTCAGTTCTGTTCTCTCTCTCTCTTCTCTCTCTCCTCTCCTGGTCAGTACTGATGGTGTGTGTGTGTGTCTGTAGGTCAGTTCTGTTCTCTCTCTCTCTCTTCTCTCTCTCATCTCCTGGTCAGTACTGATGGTGTGTGTGTTTGTCTGTAGGTCAGTTCTGTTCTCTCTCTCTCTCTTCTCTCTCTCCTCTCCTGGTCAGTATTGATGGTGTGTGTGTGTAGGTCAGTTCTGTTCTCTCTCTCTCTCTTCTCTCTCTCCTCTCCTGGTCAGTACTGATGGTGTGTGTGTGTCTGTAGGTCAGTTCTGTTCTCTCTTTCTCTCTTCTCTCTCTCCTCTCCTGGTCAGTACTGATGGTGTGTGTGTGTGTGTCTGTAGGTCAGTCATGCAGTCCTCCTGTTCTGCTCTCTGTGTCCTGATCTTGCTGGTTACTACATTCACGGCTGGTAAGTGTACAGAATCGTTACTCTTGTTGGTCTGTTGGTAAAGTTTTACAGTTTTTCATCTAAACTGCACTCAAAACACATTTCCAAATGAAATTTTCCACAGAGTCAGTTTGCTGTTGCAGATGGACGACACTGTTTCCCTTGTTTCATTTGAATTCTACCATCTTTCTTGTGTAAATGTTTGATCTACATATTCTTTGATAATGACATTTTAAATGGCTTATTAATTTATTCAGTTTAAATTTACAGGAACACTCATACAGGGATACGGATTATACACATTTCTGTAAACCTGCCAGTTTAGCCAGTTTGGCTAATAGTCAGCTGTAGTTTCTGAGCGTGCAAATAAAATATTTTTCAGTTAAATTTTTCTTGACACCGTTATTGTTTGATTGTATGAAACATATTACTGTAGTTTGGAAAATCAGTTTTTTCATTTGTACTTTAATTTAAATAATGCATTGTCATTTAAATAAAACTACACATGAAACATCTAAGTCTTAGTGAAAATCTCAGTGTTAATGTGCCAGATGCCAGTGTCATTACACATTAATGAAAATATATGTAATATAGGAATACATCACCCTTTTAGATATTAAATTTATTTTATGAATTTCTCTGATATGCTTGTGTACGTTTTGTTGTTTCTGTTTGCTTTATTCTCTGTTTTCTCTCTAATCATTTCATACAGTTAGTTTATTGATGATGAATTTAACAAGTTTGTTTCTGTTCTCTTTCAATGTCTGTATCAGCTGTTCCTCCAGTGAAGGTGAAGCTTCATGACTCTGCTACTCTGCCCTGCTCTAAGAGATGCTCTGGTTCAGCAAAATGGACTCTGTTTGATAAATCCAGTGGTACTTTGGCTGAGTGTGATCAGACTTCATGTAGATCAGTGAAGGAGGGATATCAGATGACCCTTGCTGCGTACCGGGCGGGAGATCTCTCTCTCATCATCACTGACGCTGATTTCACTAAGAGTAACACGTACGCGTGTGACTGTGATGGTAAAGATCTCTGTGATGTGACTCTTCAGGTTGAGCGTAAGTGTTCTTTATTTTCTCGACTGTGATCCCCAAATATAGATATTTTTTTCTTCTAGTATCCTACGTGGCTAAACATAATAAAATAGAGAACAGTGTCAGCCTAATCACTAATCACTATGATGTGCATGTGTCACTGAAAAGTGCCTTTGACTGTTAAATGATTATTTCAGGTTTTACAGGGCGACTCACAGCAGCTCACACTCACCGTATTTTAGCCTGTTTACATTCTCCTCACTCAGTAATGACACTTCCTTCAGTTTTAACAACAAACGTCTTACAAATCTAATGCTGAGAGAACAGAAACCTGGACTGAATGGGTGAGACGGATGCTAATCACATACATTTTTAGCTCCTTTACATATGCTGAACCCCCAAGATGTGTTCAAAACATTTATCACTTTAAAACATACTTGCTTCATCAAATAAATAAAAAAAACGATTTCTGTGATAAAAAACAAGTATTCATCGAGAAAAAATAAAGCCTTAGAGATGAGGGTGAGACATGACTGTCAGGTGATTGCACTGTTTAAAGAACACAGCACTTTTAAAGTAGGGTTAGATTATATAGAGGAGAGAATATTTTGTGTTTCGTATTTGTGTGATTTTTGTTTATAGTTATGACTGTGTGATTGGTGAAGCACAGAGAAATTGTTGGTGAGATTGTTTTTCTCTGGGTTTGTATTAAGCTTATTTCCCTTAATAACCCATACAGGTGATCTTTACTTGATGTGAACTGTAGTTAAACTGTTTTATTTACAGTGACTGAGTGAATGTACTTTATACATAGAGCATTAATCTGTATGGAATATTCACATTAGATCAGCACCTTCTTACTCTGTTTTGGGGGATTTATTGTATTTTCAGGTGCATGAAGATCACACATCTGTGGATTTGCTGATGTGTGAGAGAGACTGTTGCGGGTCTATCGTGACGTTATGTCACAATATTTATTAGATAAATAGCTCATATTGTCCTGCCCCATTTTATTGTGAGCTTAGTGTGCATCTAGGAGTCACAATACAAACACACAGGTTTTATAACTATCAACACTTAATTAGTCACATGACTTTGTTGGAGTTCCTGACTGATTCACAAATGAGGTAGTGAAAATCAGCAGTCTGTGAGAAACAAAATATAAATAAAAATTTAGTACAAAACATACCCAGAATAATGTAACGGTAAAACTAAAAACAGATTTTAGTTAGATAACTTTAGTTAAAGCATGGCTCTTTAAACTGGTAGCAGACCATTTCCACCCTCTCTTCATCCCTTAAGTACTTTTCAGACATAAAATGTGGCTCAAACTGCTCTACAGTACAGTTAACGATAACAGTAAGGCAGAGAACATAAAACAGTGAACAGCACATGATAGAACAAGATTAAAAGGAGCATTTAATAAATAAAAATAAAAGGTTAAAAATATGGAGAAGTCAAGAAAGCATTACATTTAAATTAAGAATTGAAATAAAAATTAAAGTTAAAACTAAATTCATAGAATAGAATTCTAAGTAAACACAACAAAACAATGGAGCAATATATAATAAAGACCAACTAATAGAACGCTAAACTAAATGAAAATGTTTTCAGCTGGTTTTTACATATTAGTAAGGGTCAGTGCCTGGCGTATGCCAATAGGGTCAAGATCTTTGGTGTGTGGTAACGCAAGTCTGTGTCCCCAGTCTTATATGATTCATTTATATAATACTTATCTTGAACACAGTCCGTCAGGCTTTCTGAAATGTATGAAGGTGCTAAAACATTTAGAGCTTTAAAAACATTTTTCTAATAAAATCAGTGACCCACCCTGCCTGGTTGCAGGCAATCTCTGCTGTAGAATACAGGTCTTTCCCAAATGTCTTTCCAACTATTAAAAAGCATATGCTATTATTGTTACACCAATTTTACTCGACAGTACAGTAACCGGAAATTCAGATTTCCATGATATGGGCCTTTTAAACATTTGTCCCCCACTGGCTATAAATAAACACATAAAAGAGAGACTCTGTGATACACAGAGAGTCAGAAGACTGTGCTGTTATTTTAAGTGAGTTTACTGTTTATGGTAGATGAGTTAGCTGCCTTATTGCAGTTATTTCACTTTTGTGTAGTGATTGTGGTTAGTGAGCTGACTAATATCCATGAAAATAACATTAAGCTCGACATGGACAAATTTACTGAAGGACTGAAACAGCAAAAGTTGAAGAAATTTAAAAGAGAAAAGATTACAAGGAAGGCAAGAAGTATGCATGGAGTTTCACGTTCCCCTCGCCCGCTCACTGACCATGGTCATAACTAGCATAAGGACACTGAGGGCTGGAGCTCAGCAGTTTCAGAGAGGTTTTAGAAGATTCAGAGTGGAAACAGCAGTGAGATTACCCAACCAGCAGTGCCTGCCCACTGTGTTCATCTCTGTATGGGACACCACACTACCAAGAGTGACTCTGACATACTGAGATGGTCAGATATGATATGATATGATATATGATATGATATGATATAGATGTGAGAGTTTATGAGGGTGACTAACATGTTACGATTGTAAAATGTGAACCCCACAATTTGTATTTTGTTTAGAGTGCTCATAACATCCTTAGCTAAATTAGTATGCTTTAGCCTAGTTCCAGTAACTGCTCCAGTAGCTGAAATCATACGGATAAATAAATGATTAAATATTTAACTCAATAAAATTAAACAGGGTAACGAGTGTCAGTTCGTAGAGCAGTAATAGTAGTTTATGGAAGCATGTAGGGCTGAAGTGAAAAAATGACAGTAAAAGGTAAATAAGCATTATAGACAGATAAAAAAGTGGACAATGAATATGTAATAATAACAGTTGGTGTAATTCAGCAGTGAGTTTAGTGTGGTGTAAGTCATTTTTCTGCTAAATGAACCTCACTAAAATGTTGATCCTAGTTATGGTCCTGTTCCTCACAAACCCCGAATATCAGAAGAGGGTTGTTAACTTTACTGTCAGTCAACAGGAGCAGAGGAACAACTAATTCCTTCTACAGATTTTCAGCTGGAGCTGAGTTACACAGAGGGTCAAGAATACATAGAGTTCAGGGCAGTGCAGCATGAGACTGCAGCTTGTCATGCAAACTGCAGCAGTGAAATAATGGAGCTGTCAACAAGCTTGAAACAAAGCAGAAAATGACAGTAACAGTAACAGTAGCAGTAGCAGTATCAGTCTGCTGTATCTGCTGCCATTCAGTGCAGTTAAATTGAGTGGAATGTGTAATCAGCTGCATGTGTAATATCTGCACCCGTCTTCTGTGTGATCCTCCCACATTTTGTGCAGTCCTCCCTCAAATTCATATGAGGTAAAGAGGCACATTCAGTGTTTTTCCATGCACACTGCCCATAAACTGCTTGTTTAGGCTCGTGCACCAGTTTTGTACTGAAGACGCAGGCAGAATGCGTCCAGCTTGTTCCTGACATGGGAGTAAAAGACTCAGTACATTGAGCCCAGAGAGTTCAAGAGTAGAGAAAATGATCAAACGTTCAGCCTAGATCACCCACATACAGAGAGCAGGTCCAGACTGAAGCAGTAATTAACATTTCAGACGAGAATGTTTCAGTGCACTCTGAGGGTTTTTCCCCTCATACATTCACATTAAATAAATTTGACATAAAGATTGATCTTAAGTAAGACTGCTAAGTCACCTGTAACCAGGTCTGAGGGGACTTTATGTGTCTTGCACCAACCAAAGTTATGCCCAGACACAGTTAAGACTGATCCTGTCCACAGTCATTAATTTGAAAGCGTGTAACAAAGACAGTTACTAAGGCTATGTTTACACAGCAGGTAAAAGAGGCCCAAATCTGATTTTCTCACCAAATCTGATTTTTTTTGTTTGTCTGTTCAGATTATCTTTTAAATGTGATCTGTATGCGACATCAGTCTGAACAGATCAGCTCCTAAACCGACCTGCATGCGCAAAAGAACAGATCTTCACACGGCGGCTCGTCCAGAGGTAAACAGTCATGACGGCCAGCGAACGCCAGTCGCTCCTGGAGCTTCAGTTTCGTCTTAGCCAGCATCACAGGAGCGAGTATGAAGTTCCAGTGATTGACAGCTGGACTCATCACCCAGAATGGGTTCGAGTTCGCTGTAAAAAGGGCGCGTTATTCGCCCACGGCCACTTCTTTGGTTTGGCTTCTTTAAACTGTTCTCTGACGCTGCAGCCTTGGTCTCCTCCGGCTGCGTTCGGCCGCTTCCTTTGAAACCTCTTTGAACACGGAGCAGTTTGATGTGTCTCTATATTAAAGTCTAACGATAAGCCTAATTGTTCATGAGTCTCAGCAGCGCCAAATTACGACGAATGTGGAGTTGGATTGACATAAAAGTTTATCTGTTCACACTGACACACTGACACACTGACACACAGACACACACCTGTGTCACATTTGAGGAAAAAGATCAGATTTGGGCCACTTTTACCTGCTGTGTAAACGTAGCCTAAGTGATCTGCGAGGTCGTTTAAGAGTGGAAATATGAATTATGCTGCCTACATGCTACAAGCACCTGAATATAAACAGACAGCAGTGTTAGTGCACATGTAGCAACAGTTGTTACCCTCATAATTCAGAGGAGCTGGTAATATTCAGAGGAGAAATGTTATTACAATTTGATGTGACAGCAGTTCATTTTTATGATGAATGAATCCAGATTAGACCTGGAGCTCCTAATCTGGACCTGACTCAGACTGCAGGACAGTGTAGTGACTCTTTACTGGGTTTTGATGTACTGGGCACCCCTGGTTTACTGGGTTCTTTCTGAGATATTTCCACTCCGTCAGTGTCTTTACTGTTTTTGTCACAGTTTTTGACTTTGTGCATGTCCTTAACCTGGTTTTTGTCCTTCATGTTTTTGTCCTTAGCCCATCATGGATTAGTAGGTCTCTGCTATGTTTGTGTTTTGGACAGTTTGTGGATTAGATTTGTCTGTCTCCATCCTCTTTAACTCACAGACTTTAATTAAAATCTGCATTTCCATCCCAGTGAGGTGTCCTAGTTTACAGTTTTACTAATGGTGGCAGTAATTCCAGACGTCTCTATACCTAACAGACTTAAAGATCATGTTTTTTTTTCTTCTCTTTTTGTCTTTACCTAAGATCTGACAGATCAAGATACCATTTTTCACATTCATATTACAGAAGCAAATTTCATCTCAATTCAGGAATCTCATCTTCAGCTTCTTATCTCCAGTTAGGAAATCTTAAGTTGCTCAAACAAATTCAACAATCAACTGTCATGTCTGTTACCTAGCAACCGACCATAAGCAAAACTTGTGGAGCAAAAACAACATAAAGCAAGTGAATATTTACAGTTTAGTTGGTACTATAAACTTCTGTAAAATGGATAAACAAACATAAGGGCTTTAAAACTTAAATCCAATTAACTGGAAGTGCTTTTAACATTTTTCATCCACATTAACGCATCAAGACAAGGCCAGGGAATGGGCACAAATAGCAGAGAAGGTGTCTGCATGTCGGGAATTTATTGGACTGAAGAATCAGTAAAAAAACAAAAAAAAAACAAAACGCTGCTGTACGAGCAACAAAATGAGAAAAACGGGAGGTGGGAACGTTGATTCTCCTATGCTAGGCCCTTTGGACACAGGAATTTTGTGCAGATGACTGGAAGGATCCTCTGTCGCTGTCTGTGAGCTCTTCCTCACTAGGAAACTGAATTTACACAGGTGCCAAATTACTGATCACAGTTGCTGCTTCTCTGAGATTACAAAACATAGCTGGCTGAGAAATACATCTATATCAGCGACTTCGCTTTGAAAATCGCCTTTGAAAAAACCGTAGTGTGTTAGCTGCACCATGACTGGGAGAGCACAGTGACACCTTGTTGGCTCCAAATCTGGCTGCAACTGCTCAGCTAACTGCAGTATCATGGCCCGTGGGAGACGGTAGTTGTTAATAAGTGTTTTGTTGTTGAAACGCAACACATCATTTGGTTCCGCCAAAAGTCTTCTAAGTATTTTACATCTGTGGTCATCATTCTGTATGATGAATAAATGCGAAGCCATTATGCTAGTAAATGCTAATGTTGTTCTACTACAGCTGCCCGTAAACAATGGGTTCTGTTCCCAACTGAATGTTTTAACAGTAAAAATGTAAACTTTAAGCAGAAGTTCGGGGGTTGTCTTAAAGTTAAGAAAATATTTTGGATATTTTGGCAACTTAGGATGTTGCTGTAAAACCATTTTCTGATCTGGAAATAAGATTGTGGGCTTCTGTCCTAAACTCAGTCTTAACTGAAGTTACCATGACAACAAAGCAGATATGATCTCAGACTTAAGAATTTTCTGTAATACGGCCTCTGATGAGTGTAAGTGCTTTAACATGTTTTAAGAACACTAGCTATGATGGCTATAGTGTACAAAATGCTTTTTTAGGGGGAAATTATTTTTTCTGTGCACTTAATTGTATATTTCTGATATAAAGATTGTGATTTTAAAGAGCTGCTGAGAAACTGAATTATTTAAATTATTCAGCTTGATGATATTTCTAAATCTATTTCTTTAATAAATAGTTATAATAAATGTCCAATATATCCAATAAAGTTACGAAGTTCTTATTCTCTCTTCTTCAGACTCTGAATCAACTATTCCTTCAGTGAAGGTGAATCTTCATGACTCTGCTAATCTGTCCTGCTCTGAGAGATGCTCTGGTTTGGCCAGATGGACCAAATACCATAAACCCACTGATGCTCTGGCTGAGTGTAATCAGACTGACTGCAGATCAGTGAAAGAGGGATATCAGATGATCCATGATCGTCTCACCATCACTGACGCTGATTTCACTAAGAGAGGCTGGTACACGTGTTTGTGTGATGGTACATACCTCTGTGATGTGGCTCTAAGGATTGAGGGTAAGTGTTTATCAGCTTTTCTCACTGACAGTTTCTGACTAAACTCCAGAGAATTATTCACAACTGGTGAAATCCCTGTTTGTTTCTCTCCTCAGCCTTGAATACTCCACGTCAGATAAAGGCTGGTGAATCTGTGTTTCTGGATTTGGACATATCAGATCCAGTGGAGGTGATTTATAGCAGCACAGGTTCATCCAGTGGTCAGATCTGTACAGTGGATGGACACTCACTACAGTGTAAACCTGAATATAAACAAAGAGCGTCAGTCCAAACTGTTCTTGAGCTGAAAGAAATAAAGCCATCTGATAGTGGAGATTATACAATACGGGACTTCAGGAATAAAGAGGATATTCACATCTACACAGTGACCATATCAGGTATGAGTTTACTGAGATTTACCTCTGTATTCATGAAGGTATGTTTCTTTTTCAGTACTGACTGTAGTTCAGCCTCTCCAAGGTAAGACAGTCTGAACAAATTAGCTTAATCACACAGCTACACTCCAGCATTTACAGTGCTGTGAAATTATATATGCCCCCTCCTGATTTCCTCTGTTATTCTCTTTGTCACATTAAATGGTTTTACAACATTGTACAAAATGTAATATAAGACAAGCAGAACATAAAGCAACACAAAAAAGATCATTTATTGAAGGAAAAAAGTTTTGCAACACTTATCTCACCCATGTGAAAAAGTAATTGCCCCCTGTACTTGATAACTGGATGTGCCACCTTTAGCAGCAACAGCTGCAACCAGACACTTCTGTAACTGGAGATCAGTGCTCATCGCTGTGCAGCAGGGGTGCTCATACTTTTGTGGCTTGAAATCTGCTTTTTCCAGTGGACAGGTCATTGTGATCTACCTTAAAAAAAGGTTGGCCTCATCCTTTTTTATAAACTTTAAACCTTTTTTAAAGCACTTCAGTGGCCTATATTGATATTCAGCATTACAGGGCAAACAATCAAAAGGTCACCCTAACCTTACTCTGGGGATTGACTTGTGACACTATGACTGTATGTATTGTCAATTTAAATCAAAATAGTGAATGTGACATATTTAAATAAACTTAACTCAAAATATCTGTCTTGGACATGTCTGGTCAGTTAAGTTTTTCTGAGCCTTGCCCTTCATACTACAGACAGCTCCATACAGAGGTCAGCTACTAAAAGGATGAGTGGTGCTTAGAGGTTGACCATGACCAAAAGTCCTTAGTGGTTTGCGGTAGAGAAAACTGATGCAGCAGCCACCTGTGATGGCAGAAGAATGGCTTCAACATCAGTAAAGCGGAGAACCAGAAACTGACAGAAGACAGAACTGGCATTTAGCAGAGCTTAACAGGGTTAATGGAGTCCATCCTGAGACACTCAGAGACTGTTATCATTTAACCCCTTAAATGGCCAGTTTTATTACACACTTCTATAACCTAAGAACAGCTCAGCCAGTTTGCACTGAAGCCCCAGTAGTGACTGAAGAATAAGCCTTAGCATGTAATAAGCCTGAGATTATAAGGGATGTACAAAAGCCACATCTCATTTTTATTACTCAGTTATTACATGATGCTGATTGTTTGAACTGATTACATTCCTTAGTCATATTTCACTCACTGAACAGTGAATTCAGTCAGTTTTTATCAGTTTGTTTGGGGTAAATAAACCTGAACACACAATTTCAGTGTCAGGAATTGCAGAGAAAAGATTTTGTCTGGCTGGGTCAGTTCATTTGAGACCATGCTGAGATAAGTGGTCACTGCAGTGTGTTCCTGATCCGGGGGGGTTTTGGCAAATATGGGGGATCGCAAAAGAAATGTTGATGGAATAATTAATACAATTTTAATGAATAATTAAGTTCATTTTTACAACACGGTATATATAAATAAATATAATAAAAAATAATGTCATTAGTGTGAGAGCAGTTCTGTACTGTAATACACTGTAAATAATAATGAGGTGATTAAAGCTCTTTGTGGAGTGTTGTGTAGGAGCTCCACAGCAGACTGTGTGTAATAAATGATGAGTAATCAGGTTTAATGTCATTAGTGTGGAGCAGTTCTGTACTGTAATACACAGTAAATAATAATGAGGTGATTAAATGATTCTCTGGATCTACACTGTACAGATCAACACCACATGGTTTAAAATGTCTGTTCTTTATGTGTTTTTCAGATGGAGAACCACTTCCAAGATGGGCAATTGCACTGATAGCTGTGGTGGCGGTGGTGGCGTTTCTGGCAGTGGGGATTTTGATTTGCTTTTTGCGCAATAAGAAAATCAGAGAAGTACTGAAGACAGAATCCATGTAAGTGTTTGTGCAAATGTTTAACATTAATCGCTGAGAGATGAATATCCATCATTCTCTCTCGCTCTGTTCCTCTCTTTGATTCTCTCTCTGTTTCTGGTTCTCTGTTTCTCTCTCTCTACATTCTTTCTCTGTTTTTCTCTGTTTCTCTCACTGTTCTCTCTGTCTGTAACACATAAAGATAAATAAGAAAAAGATGATATAGATTATAATAGAACACTAGAAATTAAGTTATTTACAGGGTTATTAGTAATCAAAGAAAAAGAAAAGGAAAATAAAAGAGTCAAGACAAATTTCAGGATATATAATAATCTATAATAATCACTACCGGTTATTTGTTTGTTCTCACTGGTCATCCCTCAGGTTGTGACAGGCGGTCACGTATCTGGCTGCGTGTGTGATCAGCTTGCTCCTCTCTCCCAACACGTACGGCAGTTTCTCAGAGTCACTGCAGAGCTGGAACTCAGGACAGACGCTGCTCACCTTCCCATAGAACTCCTTTCTAATGGAGTCATATCTCGAGCAGCTCTGTGAGGAAGTGCAGCTCCGTCTCCACCACTGAGACTCACAGTGGGAGCACAGTCTGGCCTCTCTGGGTAACCAGGTCTGTCTGAGAGCTCACAGTGAGAGCACAGTCTGGCCTCTCTGGGTAACCAGGTCTGTCTGAGAGCTCGCAGTGAGAGCACAGCCTGGCCTCTCTGGGTAACCAGGTCTGTCTGAGAGCTCACAGTGAGAGCACAGCCTGGCCTCTCTGAGTGACCAGCTCTGTCTGAGAGCTCACAGTGAGAGCACAGTCTGGCCTCTCTGGGTAACCAGGTCTGTCTGAGAGCTCACAGTGAGAGCACAGTCTGGCCTCTCTGGGTAACCAGGTCTGTCTGAGAGCTCACAGTGAGAGCACAGCCTGGCCTCTCTGGGTAACCAGGTCTGTATGAGAGCTCGCAGTGAGAGCACAGTCTGGCCTCTCTGGGTAACCAGGTCTGTCTGAGAGCTTACAATGAGAGCACAGTCTGGCCTCTCTGGGTGACCAGGTCTGTCTGAGAGCTTACAATGAGAGCACAGTCTGGCCTCTCTGGGTGACCAGGTCTGTCTGCGATGGCCAGGCTGTGCTCACTGAGTCTGTACATGGTCAGCACTCTCCTCAGTTGTCTGTCTGTAGTTGCTGTGAGGTGCGGTGCTGATGTATAATCTCGACTTAGGGCCGAATAGCACTGAAGCTTGTGCTGTTGATGTGTGGTCTCAGTCCAGTGGGTGATGTAGTTTTGTTTTTGTTTGGTGATAATCTGATTGGGTCTGATTTTCTGGGCGAGCGTGTGGTCAGACTCATTGGTGTCGGTGATGTCGCTGGGTTGTAGGTCACTGAGACTCAGGACCACCTGGCTCAGGGGGCTCCTGTCGATGTTCAGCTCCTGACTAGCCAGTGCTTTATAGTGGAGTGACTGGGGGTCACTGGATTTTATGTGTTTCCAGAAGTTTAGAGCTCTTTTTTGAATGTTTAATAGGAGTGGATACTGTCCTAATTCAGCCCTGCACACAGTGTTCAGTGCTTTTCTCTGCACATGGAGGATGTTTTTGCTGAATTCTGTGTTCAGGGCTTCAGTTGGATGTTTGTCCCAATTTGTAAACTTGTTTTGTGTCAGGGGTCCCCATACCTCACTGCCATATAGTGCAATTGGTTCAATTACTGATTGGAAGATTTTTAGCCAGATTGTGATTGGTATTTCAAATTTGATTGATTTTTTAATAGTAAAAAGAGCTCTCCTCACTTTTTCCCCCGAGTTCCTTCACAGCCAAGTCAAAACCTCCTGTGGAGCTAATAGTAATGCCCAGATAAGTATGTTTTAGATTGTTTGATGTCGGTGTTGTCAATTGTGTAAATATAATTCACTTGATTTTTAGACCTCTTTTGAAACATTACTATTTTGGTTTTTTGATGGTTTATTTTCAAAGCCCAATTTTTACAGAAGTTGTCCAAGATTTCTAAACTTTGACCTCTCTGGTAGGTGACAGTAGGACAAGGTCATCTGCATAGAGGAGGTATTTAATTGTTGTGTCTCCCATAGAGAGGCCGGGTATTTCACTACACTGGTCGAGTTTTTCAGCCAGTTCATTGATGTATATGTTAAACAGGGTGGGGCTCAGGCTGCAGCCCTGTCTCACTCCTCGCGACTGTGGAAAGAACCCAGTTCTGATTGTTCCAATCTTCACTGCACATTTACTGTGAGAATACATTGATCATACACCCCCCCGCCACACCCCACTTTCAATAAGTTTATAAAATAGTCCGTTATGCCAAATTGAGTCAAAAGCTTTTCGAAAGTCTACGAAACACGCAAAGATTTTGCCCTTATTTTGGTTTACGTATTTATCGATTAGTGTGTGATGAGTGAAAATGTGGTCAGATGTTCGATGATTTGGTAAGAAGCCAATCTGGTTTTTGCTTAGAACATTATGTTCTTTTAGAAAGTTTGTTATCCGAGTGTTGAGGATGCTGCAGAAGACCTTTCCCAGGTTACTGTTCACGCAAATTCCTCTGTAATTGTTTGGGTCAAATTTGTCTCCAGATTTAAATATGGGGGTGATGAGCCCCTCATTCCAGACTGTGGGGAAATGGCCTAGATTTAAAATAAGATTGAAAAGTTTGAGAATAGCCAATTTGAATTTAGGGTCTGTGTTTTTTAGCATTTCATTTAAAATGCCATCTGTACCACAGGCTTTTCTGGGTTGCAGGCCTCTGAGTTTTTCCTCTAATTCTTCTATTGTGATGGAGAAGTCCAGTGGATTTTGATAATCCTTAATTGTTATATTAAGAATTTCTAGTCGTCCAGATATTTTTTGTTCTACATTTACAGATGGCATTCTGTATAATTTTTCAAAATGGTTTCTCCATATATCCCCATCTCTAATTCCTATATGATCTTTTTTTCTGTTTAGCGATTTCCAGTGGTCCTAGAATGAATTGGAGTTGAGTGATTTCTCAGTCATTTATTTGATTTTGCATGTATTTGTGCTTTTTTGTTTTCAGTATACATTTATATTCTTTAAGTATCTCACAGTATTTTGTGCGCAGTTCCTGATTATGTGGTTCTCTGTGTTTCTGATTGAATACATTTCTAACTTCTTGCCTCTTTTTTTGCAGTCCTGATCAAACCATTTGTTGGCTGAGAGCTCTTTGATTCGTTTTTCTTAGCAGTCAGATTTATAATTTGTGTGGCATGATTAAAAATTCTGTTGAGGTTTTCCACAGCCACGTCGACTCCCTCTCTATTTTGGGGGTAGATGTTTGACAGGAAGGAGTCAAGAAGTGTCTGGATATCTTGGCTGCTGATGGCGTGGAGATGTTTTTCGGTGCTGTCCTGAGCCCACCTGAGGGGTGGTCTGAGTTTGTATATTTGGTTGGGTTTTTGCCGATTATCATTTGTAGCTGTTCTTTTCAGGTATATAGTGATTTGGCTGTGGTCAGAGAGGGGTGTTAATGGCTTGACTGTAAAGGCTCTCAGGAAAGTCAGGTCCAGATCGGTTATGGTGTAGTCCACCGTACTGCTGCCTAGAGCTGAGCTGACCGAAGGAGTCCCCTTGCAGCCGTCCGTTTATGATGTACAGACCCAGGCTTCGACAGACCTGCAGTAGGTTCTTCCCATGTGCGTTTACTGACTTGTCACACTTTTCTCTCGGGGAGTACGAGGGGAAATTAATATGATCTCCTGTTATAAAGTGATCACCTTGAGTGCTGATGAAGTCTGGTTGCTCTCCTGTTCTCGCGTTTAGGTCCCCACAGATAATTACATGGCCTTGTTTTTAGAAATGGATGATTTCATTTTCTAGGTTTGGGAAGGTTTCTTCATTGAAATAGGGGGATTCTAAAGGAGGGGTATTTATTGCACAAAGGAATAGATATTGAGGTGTTGAGATTAATTGCTTACTAATTTTTAACCACAAATTATTTTGTCCTTGTTTTATTGTTTCAATAGAATTGGTTATTTCTGATTTAAACCATATGAGCATCCCCCCTGAGTTTCTCCCCTGAGTCACTCCTTTTGACTTGGTGGAGGGGACCACTAACTCCCTGTAGCCTGGGGGACAACCAGTGGGCTCGTCTCCTCTACACCAAGTTTCCTGCAAAATTAATATATCAACATTTCCTACTTCCTTCAAAAAATCAGGGTTTCTACTTTTTAAACCAAATAAAGAAGACTTTAAACCTTGAATATTCCATATAGAAATGCGAAAAGATGTCATTCTGTACAAGCTGGAGTGTGTTACTATTCATGTTTTTGAAATGAGAAAAATAATTGCAAACAAATAAAATAAATAGTTATAATGAATCTTTGAAAATAGAATTTGATGTCTTACTCACTGAACTTAAATTGAGTTATATACAATGTTTTTTTTTTGTTTTTTTTTTAAACTAACATTAACTGTTAATGTACTTTACCTTTATGGTGATGTGATTCTTACCACAGACCATGTCCCATTAGACAAGTGCATTTGGCTGAGCACCTGCTGTATGTCTCTGAGCTCAGAGTTATTAGGGTTTGCTGCTCCACTGACAGCCTGAGCATAGGTCAGTGCTCCTGGCCTGCTCTGGAGTTGTTGGGGAGGTGGATGTGGTCATAGACGCAGGTTGCATCCAGAGTCGGGTGGTGGGCGAGGTGGGTGTTTGGTCTGAGGGCACACTCTCTGGAGATGCTGGCGTTGATTTTCTGAATAGTGTACGGATGAAAGTCTTTGCAGGGCAGCAGGGTGGAGATGATGATCTTCGTATTAGGGAAGGTGTTGCTGGCCTTCTCTATCACTGCCCTCAGGGATATGGCCACTCTTTCTTGCTGAGCTCTGAGGTCATTTGTCCCTGTGTGTATTATGATGTGGCTTGGTGACCCTAGTGTTGCCTCTGTGAGTAATTCCAGTGCTTTTCGTGTAGAAGGGCACCAGAGTTTAGCCACTCTGTGTCTGGGGAAGAGTTTTTTCTCAAAGTGCAATGTCCAGCTGGTCTGTGGTTCTTC